TAATTACCATAAGTAAATTTATTCAAACATGCATTAAATAAAATGCAAATTTAAAAATAAAGATATTCACGTTTCATAAATATCATGAAAATAGTATTTAATAATTGTAACATCTTCAACAATATTAAATTAATTGAGCATTTACATTGGGTTAGAAGAAAACCAAGAAAATGTCTAGGTGGCAAGAAAACTAAGAAAACCAATTACCTAAATACAAATCTATTTATGAATCTATGTGCTTCGATTGGAACTGGAAGTTCCAGAACAGGCAGCTGGTATACCACCATAAGAGCGCTTAGAGCAGTGCCTTTTCAAAGCTTAGCTTCTGAGAATTATCCGCCGCTAGAAGCAATCGGTAAAGGAATAAGAGTCATGATAATGCCATTTCAGGAGAGGTTTTCACCCTCTTCATGTGCAGAGATATAGCAGAATACCCTCCGGTGATGAAGACAAACCTCGTTGGCTACTTGCTCAAGTACCTCACCTAGACCTATCTCGAGTAAGTTGTCATCAAGTGATTATTATTCGATTACTTTTTTGCTAATTTATGTACAACTTGCAAAAAGAATATAAGGGTCTGTTCGATAGATTACATTTTCCATCATTTTGACATGTTTGATAGCCAAAATTTCCATGGAAAACATTTTCCATGAATTGATGGAAAACCAACAGTGATAATTGGTTTTCGAGTTCTTTTTTTTTACAGCAATGGGAACAAATTTTATTCGCAATTGTAAAAAATTATATAATTTTAATTGACAATTTTCATAAAAAACAAAACCAAACAAATATCAAAAGATTTAAAATTTCAATATTTTCAGGCGAAAAATTATACCAATCAAACACATTTAATTGAAAATTCACAGGAAGATAAGTTCTTGACAATTCAATTTTCTTAGTTTTGTCTTCTTTTCATCAAAATTACATTCTTGCAATCAAATAGATAGTAAGAGATTTGAAGCTAGACGGAAGTACCAAAAACTGAGGATACCATATGGGCCAGGGGTAACTCCGCCCTAAAATTAAACCAATTATTGCCGACGGGAGATAAATGCGACTACTGATTTTCAGTTACTGAAATACCGATTTTAGCACCCACGCAACCCCTTCTCTCGAAAATTAACGCGTGAGCATAGCTTCAATTTCCTTCCACACACGAATGGATTCCAAGTGGAGGAACGTATTGGCGGCAGTTTACTTGACAATCACAGCCACGATCTTGATGGAAAATGGAGTGAGAGCGTGGACAGGTGAAATCCATGGCAGAGTGGTGTGTGATGTGTGTGGGGATTCTTCTATCGGCCCTGAAGATCATGTTTTATCAGGCAAGTCCACTGCCCTTCGTCTTTCGTTTCCCTTTACCAGTTTTATTAACTTGTATTTCTGGGGTTGGTATTTTGATCTATTCGATGTTCATTGCAAAAGGATTTAAAGATTGTGGCTCGATGATTCCCTGTGTTGACTGGATTTAGTTGATTGTCTATTATTATTTGCTCAAGGCAATTGTTCATGTGGAGAATTGCTGGACCTTTTTAGAATACTAGTTTAATAGCTATTGAACTGTTTGTTCTTGAATATCTTTATTGAGGTTGGCCACACTCACGAGGGATGGTTTGATCCCATTCCGACAAGCAACAAGAAGAAATGATCAAAATTTTAAACAGAACTTAAATAAAGGGGATGTAGTTACAATCAGAATAAAAAATCCCCATTATACTGAAAAAGTGAGCAACCATTAAGGTTCGAGAAACTATCAATGCACTTGCCTGGGAGACAATTCTGACTGGTCAATGAAAATCAATTTCAACGTTGTCCCCTTTTTTTCAGGAGGGGGGGGGGGGGTGGGGGGGTTTTTTAGTTTTGGGGGGGGGGGGGGGGGGGTTGGGGGACTTTTTCTGAGTTTTTCCTACTTTTCGTGAAAGGTGGGAGCTAAGGATTATCTAGGACCTACACGAAGGTATCATGGGATAGAATATGAGATGATGATATACAAATAGAGTCAGGGATCAATAAAAAGTGTTTGCTTCGTAATGTTTTTCACCTACTTAGAAGTGGGATGGCAAGAGTTCATATACGGTGGAAGTGCCACATCTAGTATTATGTGCGCTGTAGCATTTCTGGAAACCGGATCAGTCCTTACTAGAGGAGGTCTGTGCATGGGACTTGTTAGACAATAAGGAGGATTCGGCTAGTCAATAGCTGAGGTCAAGGTCTGAAAAAATGCCAAGGAGTAGCTTCTTGGATCCAGAGCATTTATGCTCTGCTCGACAATTTTGCTTTCGTGCTTTGTAGTTGCCCTGGATAGCATAAGAGGTATTCTCACTCCATGGTCAGCTAATATAGGGTCCTGCTTGCCACATGCGTGCATCATTATATAAATCTTACCTTGTTTCACATGGAGACCAGAATTCCACAAGTGTAGATTAGTTGTATTAGTTACATAGAACTGAAATATGGACAGAAGTGCTTTAGTTTACCTTTTTGAAATAAAATCATACGTTATTGCTCAAAAGAAAATCTCAAAACGTGCCTCGTGGTGGTCATGCCTTTCAAATGACATTTTATTCTGTGTAATATAGTATGACTATTTTTAATTGAATTGATAGCATTTTGTGGATGAACTTTATATAAATCATTCAAGAACTTATTTCATCGATCTTAATGGGTCACACTTTGTAAATGGCTTGAAACCAAACCTGTACAATGTCTAAGGTTCATAAAAAGTTAGAATTAGACAGGTACAACCTAAATCTAGAATGAGGTTACAAGTCCCAGATAATACGTGTTCATGATCCAACTTAGCCAGCTAACCTTTGTCATACGGTAAATGACCACTAACTCCATGCTTCTATGCTCAACAAACACCATTCTCTCTAATAATCAAATGCATTATAATAGCAGGCTTCTTTGACTTGTTCGTTTGTTATTTTTTAAAACAAATCTGCAAATCAATTAAAAATTCTCGATAGACTGGTATAGAATAAAAAACTTGAGTCCTCATATAAATTTCTTTAACCATAATGCTTGTGATACTGTTCTGCCCCGGTTTTGAAGGATGCTGCAGTTGTTTATATTATGGTTCTCCAAAATATGGCAACTTTAGCAAAAAAGAATATATATCCTATGGTATGCTTTGAGGAATCTGTGATATAAATCCTAGAAAACACCAATGGTCACCAATTCGAGTCTCCTCAGGGCCACTGAGGTGAGTATCCGATTGTAAATTTCAGGATTTCTCGGGATTAGTCGAGGTGCGTGTAAGTTGGCCTGGACACCCACGGTCATAAAAAAAAAAAAAAAAAAATAATAAAAAAAAATAAAAATAATAATAAAAAATATATATATATATATCCTAGAAATAGTCCTATCACTTCTAGAAGATTTATGATCCTACATTAAGCCAGCAGTCCTGGATTCTTCAAATATCTTTAGACTCTGTTGACAGCTCTCCAGTACTTCTGATGCTCTATATATCCTAGAAATAGTCCTATCACTTCTAGAAGATTTATGATCCTACATTAAGCCAGCAGTCCTGGATTCTTCAAATATCTTTAGACTCTGTTGACGCTCTCCAGTACTTCTGATGCTCTAAGCAGGATTAATTGGATATTTTCCCAACATTTTATTATGAACCCCAATACCTCGCGTCCGTGCCTAGTTCAGACCCCTGCAGGCTGCATACATAAAGCTCCCAACAGAAGCAGCAGATATTTTCATTTGTTCTCGTTCCAATTCATTTTGCAGACATTGATTTGAACTGAATTTGCCCCCTCCGACAATAGGTGCTATGATACAGATTCAAACTAAATTTCCAGCTTCTCCAATTCTTAGATTGTGAAGGATAAACCATCCTAGCCCCTTTGAAGTTGATTGCATGGCTGATGAATAACCACTTTCAGTTCTTTCATTTGATTTCTCTATGTCAAGGTTATAAATCCCAGAAATATTTAGGGAGTATTATTTGAGATGTAGAAGGATAGCAACTATACCATTCAGATATTCAATTTATAGGTATACAGTATAATTTTACTTAAACCCATTGGTATAACTAAATACCATTTTTTTGGTGAGTGTAAACTGCAGCGTTTCTCATTGTCTTAATTTTCTGCACTTGTAGAATATTCTATCACAAGGACTACATAATGTACAAGTTGACTTCAATAATTCGCAATGAATCACATTAGGGAGGTAACTTTCCTGCTGCTTCTAGACTATCTGAATTTCAAAAGAAACTACATTAAAATTGAATACCTGGGATGGCAATAGACCAAATATATTCCTCAATTCTATCTGATCGCATTTTTTATGGTCAGACCTGCAGATAAACAGAACAAATCTTTATTGACTCGTATAGGTTCTCTTTACATTAACTGCCTGGTTTATGAGGGATGAATGCCCAATTATCTGAATGCCCGTCAATCGCTTTGGGATTTGAAGGAACTAGAAAGTCTATTCTCGAAGTGCTCATTTGAGAAAGAATGTCAACACCTATCGCTTGCCATTACAAGTGCCCATACCAACTGATATGTTTTTAAAGATTACTTGTGTGTCTTAATACAAGCACACCAATTCTGTGTTTCCAAATGGTTGGGCAGCTCGATTACCATGGTACACCCATTGGAGGGACATATTTAGTTGGGAATAAGAGCTCAAATATTTTTTTAGTTGGCTAATTTTTTTAACAATTAAGACAATCTCTAGGCTTTTGTACAAATATATTATGGTCATGCATGCGGCAAATGCAGCACCCATAAGTTGGCTAAGCAGTGGACATAAACCTTTATAGGTTTCCGAGGCGATTACCATGTCAAGAGCCAAATGCCGAGGTGACCATAAATGCTAACTATAGGGGTACACCAAGAGCATCCTCGGCATCTTGTCAGATCTCGACCTCACGTCAGACCATGGCCCCGGTTGTATGAGTAATTAATACCTCCTCAGCATCTGACAATTCCCACAGGCATCTAGCTACCCTCGGGACTGATATGGGTTTCCTAAGATGTAACGATTGGCATGTTATGGTTTCGAACACCTCCACCTGCCACCATCTCTGCCTAACATGGAACTTCACCCCTGTTCAGAATGAGGTAAAGATATATACAGTTTTCAGAAGGGAATTCAGTCTCATGTGAAATTCATAAACATTCCTTGAGAAAAATAAACATAAAAGATAAAGCTAACATGGCTGGTTGTATACTAAAATCATTCTTTGATTGAGGAGAAATTTCTTTATTTCAATTGGTTAGTTAATTTTCAACCATTCTTAGTGTTTTGCCATTACGTTTACAAGAGTATATACTCTGGTGAGTTGTGATCTAGTCAAATGTGAAAATTGTAGGTGTTGTTACTCGTTTCCTTGTGCAACTTTTGTATGTTTACTTTGTTAGTAGAGAAGTAAATTATTTTTGAAGCAGGTGCCGAGGTGGCTGTGCTTTGCATAACCAAGTCAGGCGAAGTTCTAAATTATCAGGCATTCACTAATTCAAATGGGGTATACACAGTTGCAGAGACGATGCCAGAGAGTGATCAGTGGGATGCATGTTTAGCTAGACCCATTAGCAGTTTCCATGATCACTGCACTCATCTCGGAGATGGTAGTACCGGTGTCAAGTTCAATTACAATCATCCTTCAGGCTTTTCACATGCTGTTAAACCTTTTGTTTACCGTCCTGCTAGTGTTCCTACATACTGCATTTAGAATATGTTGCATGCTGTGAACAAATAAATATTTAAGATAAAAGAAATGATATGCACCGTTGTATAATGTAATTGAGAGCAGTCGATATTTATTGTAAGTTGTTCCTTTAGCTTGTTGCATTAAACTATTTCAAGTGAATTGTGAAGTATAAGAATCTAAAGTTGAAATTCAGTAATATTTTCAATCAATATTAGATGTATTTGTGATTTGATTTTGCACAATGTGAATTTATTTTAAGAATTGAACCAGCAACTTAGGGTTCTGTTTTTGTTCGAGCTTGTTATCTTTTAAGCTTAATTCCTTGTGGAATCATGTCTACGAGATTTTCTTGTTCATTTTTTCTTCTCAAATTACTTGTAAGATATGTACTTGTCTTTTAGGAGAGTCATGAGATTATGGATGGGTAGGAGCATGTTTGGTACTCGGAATTGGACAACGGAATAGATAGAGGTCTTGCATACCCGTCACTTTTAACAATGTCAAGCTAGAAATACTAAACATATTTTAAAGAAGATTATCGTTTAAGTAACTACGAGTTTGTTATTTGTGGTCATTAAATGAGCGAATTAGCCATAAGTTACATTAAAACATCAAATAATTTGTTATATAGGTAAATAAAGTTCTTAAGTTTTTATCTACGGTTTAAATTTTTCTTGCCTTTCATACCCTATGATCGAAATAAAATGTTCTAACATAATGCAATCCTAATGAAATTTATGACGACAATTACAATACATCTACTGGGAATAGAAGTTTTCAATGAAAGTAGAGGACAATGTGGGCAGTTCTTCTTTATTTATGTAATTGATTCAATAATTTTAGGGTAATTATATTACCACTACAAATTTTACTAAGTGCGCCACAATTTCCTTATTTATTAAAATATTCTTAAAGTAAAATTACATAATTAGAATTTCAATATAGTTTTTAATTAAATAAATTATTGTTACACCACAAATATAAAGCCTAATTTCTATCTTTCTTTTTCCTCAACATCTCATTGTTCATAGTTTTTCCGACGGCTTTTGCCTTCTTCCATGGCGACAAGTAATCTTTTCCCTCTCGGTAAATGAATTTATTTTTCAAGTTTGAAAATTAAGAATTTGATTTTTTGTTGTTGAGTTAAACAGATTTGTTATGATTTAAAATAAATACGTAAATTATGATTTTTAATTGTTAAATGGGTTTATGAATTTACACATATATATACTCACCATAATTTTATGAATTAGGTGCATTCATCATGTGGGACATACACAAGCTACACCACTCATTACCACGAATTGCATGTATATAGATAAATTGTAAATGAATTTATGTATATGTAGATGCATAAGTTTTCGTGAATTTTTGTTTATGAGGTATATGAATTTTTGAAAGTTGTTCTTAATCAACAAGAAGTTTTTATTGTTATATTATATTTTTTACTAGATCGTAATAATTTATTTAATTTTTTTTTTATAACTTATCATAATTCAATTTATTTGTCCTAAATTTTAGGAAAATGATGACGACTTCAATATACACGATTATACACAATATTTTACTACTGATCAAATATAAATAAATCAAATATTAAATTTATGTTTATTAATTCAATTCTGAAACATGTCCAGTTTATAAAAAATATGCCATAAATGCTTCATCAAGTTGGGTTTTAAATATGCCCGATGAATTATTAAAACCTTTTTTATCCAAGAAATTATAAAGTTATTGTCGATAAAATTTCTTAATTTCTACTTAAAAGTGTTTCCAAAATAGACTTCCAAGATTAAAAAATGAAACTGCGAATACATTAAAAATTCATATTTTGAATAAAAAATGGTAACGCAAATAAATTACGGGCAACTTCAAAGGATTCTTTCGGACATATTAATTACTCATGACAAACATTCAATTTATTATGGCATGGTGAAAGGTTGAGAAAATAAGAATTAATATTGGTGATAAGTATACCACAATATTATATTATGTTCTTTTTAAATTTTAAATTTTTATTGAATTAGGAGTATAATTGTAAATTTATTGTGGTGTATTTACTAAAAATATACTTTAATTGTGGTGAAATTATAATGTGGTGTAATAATTAAAATTTGTAGCTGTTGGAAGAAATTTGGTCGCCCATGGGGATTGACCCGACCCGATTTGCATGGAAATGGGTTTTAGAGCGAGGAGTTGAAAATTGAATTTAAAAGTTAACCTCCCCACCTCCAAAAAAACTCCTATCAACTTCCATTAATCTTTTTTTCCTGAATAACAAAAAACTAAGAAAATTCGAGTTAAAGGGAGTGAAAGAAAAATATATGAGGAAAAAGACTTGATTTTTGGAAGATTATATCTCAAATTGAATTCTTGGATTGTAGCTATCAAATTACTTCCATTGTGATTGAATTTCTGACAAAGAGGTGGGTACAAGAAAGTGTGGAAAGCAAGCGAATCAAATGCAAGTAATTCAACGTCGATTTTGTGATTTCAAGTAAGTATCACTACTTGGAACTCGATTATAAGCATGCAAGCACATTTTACATTAGCATCAGAGCCTAAGTAGGTTATTTTCTTGTTTAAACATATGTTGAAAATGTCATAGAATGACTGAAATGCATGAATTCCGATTTTTTTTTTCAAAGCTTGAATGTTGTTAATGGCAACTTTTCATATACTTCATATTAATTCATGAAATTTATATTGTATGTTCATGATATTATGGAGAACATATCTGAAAATTTTCATGGTATTTGGCTTTGTATTTTGGGAGGAAAAATGAACTCTAGTTAAACAAGTTGAAACTTCATCGCATGATAATTTCTTGCACGTTAAGTTTGATGTTGTCCATTTTATATGATTGGATAGATCTTCTCGAGACCTTTCCAACAATATAAAGAACATAAAATTTGACCTTAAATTAAAGAAGTTATGACCTTTCGAAGTTTTGACAGAAATCTTAAAAATCTGCATTTTTTTAGGGAGGATGGACAGTAACCAGAGGAAAAAAAACTAAAACTGTTGTAGTGGAGTGGATTCAAATTTTGAAAATTGCATGTTGGTCCCTCAATTATTGTAGATGCAATTTGAAATATTTCATGTTAGTCCTTGCACTTTAAAATATTTCCAAATGCAATTAGGAAAATTACATGTTAGTCCTCCCACTTTTGAATGTTTTCAAATGCAATTTGAGAAATTACATGTTGATCCCCACACTTTTTGAATGTTGATTATTTCGAATGCAATTTGAGAAATTGCATGTTGGTCCCCCAGCTGTTTTGAACCTTGATTATACCAAATGCAATTTGAAAAATTGCATGTTGGTCCCAATACTATTTTTTGGATGTTGTTTATTCCAATGTCAATTTGAAAAGTTGTATATTGGTCCCAAAATTATTTTCTTTGGGAAGTTGATTATTCGACATTCAATTTAAAAGATTATAAATTGGTCATGCATATGAGGATCCATGCGAGACCCAACTTCAATTCTGAAAATTACAAATTAGTCCTTCAAATATTCTTGATTTTTGTGTGCAATTAAAATTAATTTTCAGATGATCAAATATATATATATATATTGGACTCAATTAAATTCTGAAATTTTTTTATAAAGGTCAAGAATATTTGTTAAGTGGTATTTGCTCAGTAGAAATTATTTTTTTTAAGTGTTTCATTTTTTTGAAATGAAAAATATTTCGAATGTATTTAAAATACCACATTTTATATACGTTTATGAGTTATATGAGTCTTGATTAGATTATGTGATCCATTGTAACTTGTTTCGAATTTTGTGTATATATTATTGCATTTATGCACATTTATACCACCCTTAGAGGGAATGCTAGGGAAACAAGGGTTATGGAACTTGTTAAAAAGCTACGTGCTTACTATAATTAATAATAATAATAATAAATGGATCAGAAACATAACCTAGTTGAATACGTGAATATTTTTTGGGACCACTTTTAGTGATAAGCAGAATATAAAAAATTATAATGTCACTTCTCATTTGTTGGGATTGTGTTGCAATAGATATCAAAGCGTGGTTGACAATCATAATATATGTCATAATTTCATATTATGAAATTACATTATTAGATAAATGTGCATATTTATGGAAATGCATGATATCCATTAACTCGTGTATTGTTATAAATGTTAAGGTCCGTAGAATTAGTGAGATTTTTACTTAGACCTATTGATGGTCAGTTGAGTGATAGCCAACTGAGTGAGGGTACTGAAGTTTGGAAGAATTAATGCAATTCTCACTTAGAATCCATGGAATTTTGCATTATTAAATTAAGTTTATGATAGTGAAATAATAGGATTCTGGACGATGATTGGGAACGTAGTGAATTTTCGACTCTGTACCTAACGTTGAACTATCGTAAATGTTAATTTGCGTTAATGCAAAATTAAATATGTGCATAAATGGGCATTGATTGAGAATAAAATGTCTCTAAAATTATGATAGATCATGGCATCAAAATCTATAGAAGTTAACCTTAATAAAGGTGATAAACTAAATGCGATAACATTTGGCATGATAAGATTTTAAATGTACTAGAAGAACACGATGCTTTAGAGAACATTAATCACGTAATAGAAGACCCTATGTAGGTCATACTACTCTAGAGAATAAAGATCAGAACTTTATCGAGTACTGAAAAAATGTGGATTTTAATACTCGAGCATTTAAAATTGTTAAGTTCTGTTATAAATAATCTTTTTCTCAAATGTGACTTAATTGGTGGTTAGCATAGTGTTAACATTTTCTTTGGTCACATTAATTTTAGATGAGTAGTAAGTTCAAACTAGTTTCTTCTTAATATATGAAATTTTGAAAGTCATTGTGATTTACAAATAGAAGTGTCAATTTTTTTATTGACACTACCCGCTATGTGAGTTAAAAGACGTGCGACTGGATGTTGCTAAGTTTCGAGGATATGCTTGTGTAGCAATGTTCTAGCTTACCTATTGAATCTTAAGCATTGAATGAGCTAGAACAAATGCGGGATGGATGTAGGAGACTGGTAAAGGGACCAAGAAGAATTTCAGATAGTAAGTGAATGAATGTAGTTTTGATAGAGGATCAATGTTATAAAAGTTCAAATGCTTCAACTATATAGTTTGAATCTCTTAGCTCAAAATGGTTAAGTTAAAGGATATTGCACTTGAACATATTCATCTTAGTGTCGTTTTCGTATCAAC